CAAACCACCAAAAAAACCACAAAAAAAAAAAAAAAAAAAGGAACAAAAAAAAAAAAAAAAAAAAAAAAAAAAAAAAAAAAAAACAAAACACACAAAAAAAAAAAAAAAAAAAAAAAAAAAAAAGGGAAGAAAAGAAAAACGTAAAAAAGAGGAAGTAATTAAGAAACTCACCTAGTTGTTGGACTTATAGACTAATACGCAATAGAAATTCGTCATATTCCTTCACCGTCAATAACCTACTATATTTGTCATGCACGATTCTAGTACTAGAATTCTAGTCACAGAACCATTTTTCTCAAACAAATTTAAATGCTAGGTCGACAAACTTCTCAGGATTAATGGCAGGAGGTGGGACTTCAGACGTGGCAAACCCTTGCTTTCATCAAGAATTAGTGAATTACTATACTTAGTTAACAATAAACTGGCCAAAAAGAAATACGATGTGTTCTTGAATGTCTAACAAAGTCCAGATTGTTACATGCATAATGCAACACTCAGTCAACATTACTGCCGCTGCCTGTTCTATAATTATGTTGATCAGGAATACTACCACCACGAACCGTTGATAAAGTGTGTTCACCAAATAATACGGAAGGGCTGCTTCTCCTTTTCTGCAAGGTATCTGTTTCAGCTCACTCCCTTTCTAGGTTTTGCACCAAACATAAATCTTTAAGCTGCCGTGATATTTTTGGATTTTATCAAAGCAGTCAAAAAAATTGTTGTGATCAATTTTTCTATGCCAAACTTATAGGTATTTTCTCAGTAATTCTATACCATGTCATCTATACTCCCTTTAGCAACTACACGATTATTGTCGGTAGACTCAGTACTACTTTAATACTCATAACTATGGCCTAATTTTATTAATTTAGATTTGGCCCATTATTAAAAAATAATAATAATAATAATAATAATCACATGGAAGTCCATTATGTGAAATTATAGCCCACACCTTTTTTTTTCATTTTTCTTTTTGGGCTAAAATCCAAGTTGTTATTTAATTTTAATTAAATAATGGAGATAATGTTTTATTTTTATCTATTTTTGTTAGATTGAAATTTTAAAGGATTGAGATAAAATCAAATTCCTATTAAAATAATAGTTTAATTTAATCTATATTTTATTTAATGTTAAAAGACAATTGAGATAATGTTTCAATGTTATCTCTTCCAATTAAAGTTAAAATATTAAATTATAAAGATAATATTTTGATTTTATCTCTACTTTGTTTGATTTTAGAAATTATGGAGAGAATGTTTTTTTAATTTCAATTCATTATCTTATCACATTAGATGAAATATGGTCGAGACAATGATAAGATTTTATGACTTTTAAGATTCAAAGTTCAATTAAATTTGAACTTTCAAAGCATTGTGGCCTTGATAAATAGGTATCATATGTTTCATTTTCAAGCATATTCATATATCTGTAAAAAACACACAAATACAAATATAGTATATCTTTTAGTACGTGGGTCAACAGTTGAAGTCCCAAATATATTCCAATATTTCTCTTATCATTTTCACAAGATATAGTAAGTGTATAAGTATTTTTGTGAGATTATATACATACGTTAGATTTTTGGAACATTGATTATGAGGTCATGTATGTTCTAAGTTTGGACTAGGGTATTACAATAGCACTACGTATGAAAATTTCATACCCCCTACGTTCGGTATAGATTTTCATGTCTCACTATGTATGCATGTATGAAATTCCTTAAATTCTATACAAATATTAATCCATGTACTTATATACTTATTGAGATTGTCTCACACCCCCTTTTATCCCTTACAGGAAATTGATGGTTCGTGGCAGTTAAGGCATGAGAGAGCTGGTGAATTGGCAAGTAAAAGAAACCCACCAGGCTCACTTTTATTTATTTAAGAACTTATTTAATTATTGGTTTGGTATTAAAATTGCTAAATTTCTATTACTTTCTTTTATGTTGACATCAAAACTTTTTATGCATTCACTCTTAAAATTTCTTGATATTATTTAAATAAATTTCAAGCTTTTGAAAGTACAATATGATGTTCAAGATATGATTTTAGCGACACTCGAACTTTAGAATTCGGGTCATCACAACCCCCTTTTTATACCCACTGATTGCAACAACCATCCTAGATCATATGAGGTGTAATTTAATGTGTAGTTTCAAATAGAAACTTTGGATGAATGAGATATGAATATCGTTTCAATTTGGCCCACGAACGCACGAAGACCTAGTCAAGCCTTCTTATACCCACTCATTGCAACAACCATCCTAGACCATATGAGGTGTAAATTAATGTGTAGTTTCAAATATAAACTTTGGATGAATGAGATATGAATATCGTTTCAATTTGTCCGGCAAACGCACAAAGACCTAGTCAAGTTTAGGAAACAAGTTAATTATCTGCCTTTTGAGCCAATGATTTGGTTTCTACTGTACTTAGATAAAACGTGTTTACACTATAGTTCTATAGGAAAAATAACAGGTTCTAAGTTGCATATAATAGACATGTATATATATGACAATATAACACTTGGACCAGATTAATCTGTAAATACAACCCATGACTTTTGAGACCCATAAGTCATGGTAATTGCTAAACCAAATAATAAGCAAATGAAAGGGGGAAAGAACAACAGCACACTATGAAAGGTCGTCTTAACACAAACTTGAGATCTTTGGGCACATCATTTTTGTTTTTACCCTGAAGAACAACATAATATGCACTGACCTTTTGGCACATCATATGAAAAATACACAATTGCACCAGGCACGAAGCCAGCGGAATAAAAATCCTGTGACATCTCCATTATTTGCTTTTTGGGAGGTGTTGTATCTGAAAATATTTAAGAAGAAAAGACCTTAAGGTTACTTCGGTACCTATTCTTTGGTAAATGTAAGATAAAAATAATAATAGAATAATAATGTAAGATAAAAATAATAATAGGATAATAACTTTGAGTTGAGAAGGTCCTCACATAGATAAAATGGCAATTCTGGATGAGCAACGACTTTCATGAGAAGATCAACTAGACTCTGAATTGTTTCCAATGCATGAAATGATGCCTCTAATGTGTAATTATCAGGAAAACGAACTCTGATAACAGCCTGTTGCTTAAAGAGAGTGAATTTTGTGCGACAATAAAAATCTTAAACGATGTTTGATAGAGATTAAAATTGGATTTTTTAGTAGATTGTAATAGAAATTTTTGAAATGTGTTGTTGAAAAATCGTGGGACTCATGAAAAAGTGGTTAATATTGATTGTTTAACTTTGACTTAAATTAAAATCAAATTTTAATCACAACCAAACATTGGCTTACTAAATTTATAGGGCGTGCTATGAATAAACTTTTATATTAGCATGAAATAATATCTACACGTAAGGATCAAATTACCTTCGTTATCTTTGACCTACGAGTAGCTTCTTCTGCTTCACGAATTTTTCGAGTCTTCAGGTATTTATCTTCAGATGTAACCAAATCATACAAGTATTAGAAATTTCAAATCATAAATCTAAAGATAATAAGCTCCTTTTTACATGTGGCAATAACATACAAAGCAAGCACAACGGAATTTTCAAGTCTTCAAATATTTATCTTCAGAAAGTATCAAATCATACAAGTATTAGAATTTTCAAATCATAAATTTCCAGATGCTCATCTCCTTTTCAACATAAGTTAAAAAAACATACAGAACGATCACAGCCTGGGATTTAATTTGACACATAATCATCTGTATATAGAGATAATTTTTTTCTACGTATTACCTTCCTTTTTTGTAGACATCAGCCGAAAATAGTCCTCTGCTGTAAAATCATAAAAGTCATCTGGCTCCTCTGAAAGAAGCGAGAATAGAACCATCAAATATTCTATTATCTCAAAAGTTGGGAGGAAAATGGACTGAAACATCAACAGGATCTTACCAGTGCTTGGAACGTCACTATTATTTGCAGAGGCTCTTGATGTTTCGAACACACGGATATCCCGCCCATATTTTTCTTTGGCAGCTGCAAACTTTTCCTGAATAACCTGAGAAGAAACAGCTTATTCCCACAGATATAACATATTACTGAAGAAGGGTATACTTAACAGTAGCTGATGATAAAAAATGATTCCGTGAAAAACTGCTTCAAAGTAAAATATAAATAGAAGTGGCTAAATTAAAGAAAGAGTTTATGCATTTCAATATAAGGAAATGACCGTCAAGGAAAAACTGAAACTCGAACAGAGACAAAAAAATTAATAATAATAAAAATAAATTAATTAATTAAATAGATCTTGTTACATTAATCTTCCTTCTGCTTCTTATAGCATTTTGTAATGACTTCAGGAATGGTATAGCAATTAGGAGCCACCCCTGGCGCCCCATTTCTAATTTTTACGAAGACTTTAACACACACACCTGTTTAGATAATTGTATTGACATAATTGCACCAAATATTGATAATTCCTTTAATAAATCAAGCAGAGATTCAAAACCAAATTAATTAAAATATATAGTTAAAAATCTGTGATACTGAAGTTGCCGTATCAAAAAATCAACCTCATCATGTATAGGTTTATTAAAGTTCCTTCACCCATGTTTAATTTTATCAACCGTAAATTAGACAATATTGTACGGAATAGAAGATGCGAACCGAAAAAGTTGCCACCGTCATTGAAAATCAACCAAAAAATTCCAATCAGATGAGAGTAAAATAAAAAAAAAAAATCTATCACAAGTACTTCATCTAGATAAGAAAAGATATAACGCAACCGATACGCATAAAGTATGGGAAATTTTCAATCATGAAGAGATTCTTCTACCTTGACAGATTCAGGGTCCATGAAGTGAAGAGTTGTGAATCTTCCGCGTTTCGAAGCTGGTGAGGAACCAATTATCATCACCGACTTGAACAATCTCAAATCACTTTTTCTCTCGGTTTTTCATGGGTTCTCAGCATTTATATTTCGTTATCTTGTTCGCTGCGTGTGCTTGAGTGAGAATTTGGCTTTCTAACATTTTAGGGCCGCCTTGGAGTTTTGAGTAAAAATCGCTTATTAAGCCGAACACTATTTTTCCAAAAACACATTTTTAATAAAATTTATTTTCGATGATACATTCTCTCGTAAATGATATTATACGTAAATCTAAATTTTTTTCTTATTTTTCAAAAACACACTCTTCTCCGAAAAGTCATTATTCCAAAGAAAAACATTTTTCCCAAAAAGTTCATTTTAATGGAGCCCAAATAGGAACTAGAAAATTAAAATTACATATATGCCCTTAAATTTCTTTACCCCCAAGTGATATTTTATTTATAAGTAATTTTTACATATAAGTTAATATTTAACTTTAAAAAGTTATTACTTCAAATTTTAAGTTAGTTTTTTACTAAATTTTAAAATTATAAGTTAATTTTGTACTCTTAAGTAATTTTTACACATAAGTGAACTTTGTACTTATAAGAAAATTTTATATTTTACAAGTAAATTTTTATCATGTTGGTAGTGTTTTTACTTTACAAACAAATTTTTATATAAAAGTGAACTTATAAGTAAAACTTTTAATTATAATGTAATGTTTTTGCTTATAAATAGTTTTTTTAGTTAATATATTTTTATTTATAAGTTAGTTTGAATAAAATATGTTATTGAAAATAATTATTTTATAAATGGTAAAATTATAAGAGAATATGATAAACGATCTAAAGTCACTGGTTCAGAGAATTGAGAGAAACTATCGAAATTACACTACAAATCAAAACTGATACCTAAAAAAAAATCAGCAAGCACCAAATTTTTTCAAACCTTTTAAGTCCACCCAAAATCTATCAAAATCAGCGAAAAAATAATAATAATAATCACCATGGAAGAGGCTTCCTTTGGGGAAGAAGTAAAAGTCATGTGGGAACCAATAAGGGCACATCCTGCGATTTACCTCCCTGAGCAGCTGAGGGGCCGGAGGTTCAGGGACGAGGATATATAGTTTGGCGCAAGCTGGGACACCTCGTTAAAAAAAAAAAATTAGTGAAAAATAAATAGATAAAACCTTTAGGGACTGCGAGCATAGTTATCAAACTCGACCCCGTTGTCAATCCCAAAAAATCATCGAGTCACTAGATTAGTAGTTCAACAGGTGGATTTGTAGTTCAACAGGTGGATTTGTGCTAGATCATATTTTCAAATTTTTTTAAAAAAAAATTAAAAACAAAAAGATAAAAACCTGGATTGAACTCTTTCCAGATTTCACATAAACTCGTTCGATTGAGTTCCTTTATGAAGCGATCTGAACGATTCTTGATCGGTGCATTTGTAAGAGAACCAAATACTGCCTAAACCCTAGATCTGTTTTGATTTAAATAACTATGATTGCGAGTTCTTCATGTTTTCTTCCCAATTTAAGGTAAAGTTGCAACTGAAAGTTTTTGTTCCATTTTTCAAGTGTGCCTATTTGAAAAGTTGCAATATCTCTGTGTTGAATAAGTTCAATAAGTCGCTCGCTGCACAAAAAAATTGCTTCTAGAAAATTTTAGTGTTTGTTTGCATTTCACAGTGTTTTAAAAACCGACCCGATTATCGACCCAGAAAAGGTCAAAGGTCAAAGGTTAAAATGTTCAATCGGGATCAAACCGAATGCAATAAATACATACAAAAATAATAAAATACTATGAAAACAATAATTTTTTTTAAAAAAAATTCATATTAATAATTTATTAATTAAATTCATTATTCTATAATTTGTTAACATTTTTGTTATGCCACCATCCCGCATTGCGAGTTTATGAAACCACTAAAGAGAAGTGAATATATATAACGTGTTATCTCGCATTGGAAGTTTATAAAACGATTTGAGAGAAGTACATTTATAAAATGAATTTGTCATCCAATATTTTTCTATGAGCCTTTGAATTATTGTTTATGTTCATGAGGCCCATTCATGAAATTGAAAATTTTTAAAATAAAAATAAATAAAAAGGGAAAACTGCAACCGGTTCACCGGTTTATGGTTAAACTGGTTGATTCGATGAGTTTTTAAGTGGTTTAGTCATCAGCAGTTAATCGAACATGATTGACCCAATTTTGGGCCTTGTCCCCCATTTTACTGGTTGAACCGATCAAGCCGGACCGATTTTGATAACATTTGATTTCATCATAAGTTCATTATTATTTAAAATTTAAAGTCGAGTTTTTTAATTTTAATCACATATTTCGTATAACTCATAATTACTATCCACTCATCCATTATTCATTTTATATTAATTATAATTTTTTAGCAACTTAATGAAACCCGAAAATAATTGAGGAACTACCTATCCTTAAGCCAGCCAACACGTTCCCTATCTTTAAGCTAGCCAACAAGTTCAATTGGCTTCAATTCATCTACATCGCACCATATTATGTTTAAATTGATGTGGCCCTCCGGGACATAGTCCAGTGGTGCAAAGGATAGAAATGAGATTATTTCACGCTTTGCTGGCAGCCGCAATGTGGGAGTTCGATTCCTGATACATGAAATTGGACTCCTTGTAGGCGCAATATACAGGCAGCTCTTGTACCCTAACCTGTTGGAACATATCCCGCGATTTACCTCCCTCACAAAACTCTAGGAGCGAGGCGTTTTTTTAATTGGTGTTGTGTAGTTTATGCTCGGTGTAACTTATCTAATAAAGTAAGTTATTAAAAAGGTCCACACCATGTGAATAACTACAGTGAACAATTATCGAACAAAGGAGTTGAGTTGCAAATGAGCTAGTTGATAAATGAGAAATCTACAATGGTACACCGTACTACACACCACGTAAACGTTTCACAGCAGGCCCTTTCCACAAAATGAAAAATCCCCTTACATGCATCGAGAGTGGAAAAATGAATATTATTCATAACTAAAATTTGTCGTGTCTTCAATAGTAGAAAGAAACTGTGTCTCATATTCAATACTATACAGAATTTTTAAATGTAATTTCAAGATTAGGATTTTATTTAAATAATTATACCCCTATTTGAAGTAAGTGAATTATTTTTTATCGTAAAATGAACGTAGACAAATTATCGAACTACTTAAATTTATGTATCGATCTAATTGTTCTTACTTTTTTCGATTTTACATTTTACTTATACACAAAAGACATATTTGATCCAATATTTATCAAATACATCAAAATATAAGCATCTCACCAATTACACAACAAGCTCGCAATCTATTAAATCGATTGAAAATGCTATATAAGAATGTACTGTACAAACACAGATTGTGTTAAAAGAATAAATTTCTATGAATAAATTATTTAGCATCCATTTAGAAAGATTATAAAAAAAAGGGGTGGTGAATAAGTAAATAATACTTGTGGGTTCATTGGAATATATTGTTGAAAATGAAATTTAATCATTTATAAATTAGCTTATAAAATTTGCCAAATCGAGTCTTATTAGTGACCTAACTTTTAGTGTGTAACACCTCCAAAATCTATTTCATTTATTTTATTTTATTTTTAAATAAAAATAAACTCGATGCATTACCAAAAAAATCTTCTTTATCTCGAATGAAAAAAATTAATATAAAATTTAACATGAAGATGTTCTTCAAATAAAAATTGGCAATTATCATTTCTAGAAATTTTACTTGATAACCCCATAAGCATCTCTTAATCAATCTGCCTAGCATCCGCACGACCCATTATAATCTAAATGTTTATTATAAGATTGACCATTTTGATAACACTCAATGAAAATACGTGGATATTCTTATTAAGATGATATAAATATAAAATGACATAATATATCAACATTTCTTAGATTTAAATCAAACTGGTCACGATATCCAATAATTCAAATAATTTCTTAAAAATTCATATATCCAGTAGAATTTACATATTCGATCTTACGCTCTATCCCATATGATTTAACATAGAAATTGACCATATGGCCTGAAAGTTTTTCATGCTAAAATTTATATAAATGTTAAGAAAATAAGAAATTACCACATTTGCACTTGTATTCTTACCTCAATGACACCAAAATAAAATCAGAAAATATGACTTTTAGAATAATAGTTAAATAAATTATTTTTAATAGATTGTGTGTATGTAAAATCTATAGGAAGCTAACTTATGTTTTTTTTTTTTAGATAAATACACTCTAATAAGACCACTTGCATATATATAATTCGGTGAGTTAATTGTTTCAATGGTCACTAAACTTAGATCCATGTCTTTAATTGACCACTGAACTTTAAAATGTGGAGTTTTGGTCACTGAACTTAAGTCCATGCTTTGATTGCTTATTAAAGTTTAAAATATCGAGTTTTGGCCACTGAACTTTGGAATATATCGTACGTTATTTACTTGCATAACTGTTGAATTTTGAAAAATATCGAGTTTACAGTGAATAATGTACAACATTTTTCAAAATTCAATTTGTAATGTACAATATTTTTCAAAGTTTAACGAGTAATGTACAACATTTTTTAAAGTTCAGTAATCAAAACTCGACATTTTAAATTTCGGTGAGCAACTGAAGACATAGACCTAAATTTAGTGATCAAAACTCGACATTTTTCAAAGTTCGGTAGCCAAAACTCGACATTTTAAAGTTCAGTGGCCAATCAAAGACATGGATCTAAGTTTAGTGGCCAAAATTCGACATTTTAAAGTCCAATAGCCAATCAAAGATATGAACCTAAGTTCAGTGACCATTGGAATAATTATCTCTAATTTGAAACACTGCATGTAACCCCAAGTCACTAATATCGCATTTTAGTTTTAATATTTAAATTCCAAACGCATTTGAGGTAAATGGAAAATTTATGAGATTAATTAAATTAATTATTTTCAAATGTAATGAACTAATTATGTTCAATATATTAAATTATAATAGTCTTTTCAAATTTCGACGTAACCATATTGAATTGAATTTAAATGAAAGTTTTGTTTTATTGTTTGTTTATAAATAAATTATAAAATTTGGAATACTTTCTTTCTATCAAAATAACATGGGCATATTTAGTTTAAAAATAGGGAAAATTACCTACAAACCTACAT